AAAAAATTCAGTATTGAGAATATTCCGATTTTATTATTTGAATTTTTATCTCATAAATACTATACGGAATTCTATAATACGAATTCTATTAATTCTATTTACAGGCATGTCAAACAGTCATAGTATGTTAGCTGTGCAAAATCAATTACTGCCTAATAGGTTTTTCTGCTTATGATATATGAAAAATTGCGAGCAAATTAGTCTAAAGAAATAGATGTTTAGTGGTCGTATATTAAAAAAATACCAATATACTTTTGATATCATTAAACTAAAAGTCTTTTTTACTACCCGCAGTAACACAGCCAAATAGAATAATAATTAAATTAAAAAGATCGGAACTTATAGTTAGTTGTGCGATGAAGCATTACCATAATGTTGAATTTATTATGGTATAATTTTCAATATTTGAAATTAACAACTGACAATATGTAATTAAAAAACTTGTATTTAAAACTATATATATATATATATATATATATATATATATATATTTATATATATTTCAACATCAATGTACATGTAATAAATCAACATTAATATACAAAAGTCCTTTGATTTTTAAAATAAATTTAGTAAAATATAATCATCAAAAATATCTGGATAATATGCCATTTTGTTGAAACTTCAAAATAATAAACGCCTGCTGAATTTTGAAGCCGACTTTGAAGTATTAAACCGATTTAGTTGAGCAGTTTTTGGCATTACGAGTTCTTAACTTCAAATCATTCCAAATTGTAGTTTGTAGCACGTGTATTTTTAAATAGGCAGAAAGTACAATTATTACGACAAAGGGTATTCGGGTATGTAGAAGTAAAAAGGTATCGACAATTCAAAAGATTTTTAATTTAAGGATAAGCATTTAAATAGTATATCATCATCATTATATTTACTAGCGTATTTGAAAAATAGACAATTTATCTATAATTGTACCATTTGTCTACATATTTTTGTTCATTTATTATATATATATATATATATATATATATATATATATATATATGCATTTATTAATTAAATAAAGCTTATTATTTAAAAAAAAAAAAATGAAAATTTAATTAAGAAACTTATGAAAATTTATTAATAACATAATTATGCCTCTAAGAGATTTAAGTATTAACGATAAAGTAAAATTTTTACTTAAAAAATAAAATAATTCCATGTTAAAACAAATATTTTTATATTTTTAAAAGTTTCGTGTTTACCGCCATATTAAAACTTTAATTACCCTGTTTTGCAAGATTATGAGTTTTAATCTAAGTATTTTATTCCGACACGAACAAGCAATATTAAGATATTTGAAAAGCTTTATTTCAATTTATATCTTATTATTTTATTATTGAAACTTAAATTAACTATTCAAAATTAGATTCTTTGAAAATTTGCTACACATATTTAAGTGTGCAGTTTTATAGAAATATTGTAAAGAAAATGTATGGGAATTTTTATAAAGAAATTTCATCACAACATAACTCGATTATTACCTTTAACATATCAACTGTTTGGTGGGATTATCACGTTAAGTGATAAATGACCTTAGGCCTTAAATATTATTATATGATGATAATTTCTATTTCAATGAAATTTATTGAAAGAATGTACTAAGCTTTTATACGATAAATCTATAATGAGACATATGTCAAATGTAAGATGTCGATCTCTAAAAATGAACGACATGGTATCAACAAATAATTAAGAAAAAAAAAAGAAAAAAAATTACTCCTTATTAACGTTGTAGAAGAAGTAAATTTATAATGAAAATATTATAAAAAAACAACGAATAGTCATTTATTTTATTTATTTATGTAGACGGCTGATTGATATTGCAATACATCCTCATGTAATTTACTTTGCCTCTCAGCTATTACATATTGAGTATCATACATAATCTAAGTAAATGCACTTTGTTGATTATGTAATTGGCGGCGCCTACGTCGAGGGAGCCAAGTCTTAAAACTCAGTGAACTTTTAACTTGTAACTTTCGTGATTGATGCAGCATTAAACAAAGAGGCTTTTAAATTTGCGGACCGGAAAATCTTGTGGAAATATTCGAAGCTCGGAGTGCCTTTCCTTACACCATTGACCTATCTTTGTCTGTCTATCACGTGGGACCATTCGCATATTACGTCGGAGTTGAGGGAGGCGAGGTAAGGCCATTACATAATGAAACTTGACACGGGATTGACGGGGATGACGGGGAGGCAAGTATAATGTAGCGTTTCGGTACCAGCCGTGATTGGTGCTTCGCAGCATCTAATAGTTTTATGATTATACTTATAAGTCCAACTACATGCTAAGTGAAAGATGGGATATTTTGTTAGTATGTATGCTAACTACAATCCATGGCCAACTGAATTCAATCAATTTTTCGTCCTTAGGATTCAATAATATCGCTTGCTATTACTATCGTAGAAATACTATTAAATTTAGTCTCATTTCAATTAGCTTAATTAGCTTCATTTGACCCAGGAGCACAGGAATAATAATATTATTAAATTTCAGCGTTTTCAACATTTTAATATTAATAACAGAGTTTATTTTATAAAACTTTATCCATTATTTATATTACTTACGTTTTATTATTATGTCTTTAATTTAAAATTCGAGAATACCGTGAAGGATAAAATAGCTTCGGCATCTTCAATGAATGAAAGATTTTTTTTCTTCACAGTTTTCTTATCCAACAAATCGTGAAAATATTTTCTCTCATCTTTTTTCCTCATTTAGATTTCGTTTCCTATGAATAATTTACATTTCAATAGAATTACATAACGATCACGATCGTTTTTCATGATTTAAGATTTAATTATTTATTAATAAAAATATCGTATTATTATATAAGTTCGATAAAAATGAACATTAATTTTTTTTTTCGAATAATTTATCATTGATGGTATGCTCAGTAGTTGTTTGTTAAAAAATCCTATTTCATTATATGAAATTTAAATAAAATAATTAAATTTCACGAAATATGAGTTATAATTCTTTGATTTTAAAAAGATCTATAAAAATGTTTTGATTAATGAGTTTTAATAAGCTTTTAAATCGAATGTATATTGTTTTTTTTTTTTTTTTTTTTTTTTTTTTTAATTTTAAAAATACTCTATGCAAAAGAAATAATCTATGCAAAAAAACGAAAGCTGAGTTTATCTTTGTTTTTTCCGTCAGACAAGTTAAATGAAATATTTTTTTTTTTTACATTTTATAATTTATGAATAATAGATTTTAATATATTATCACTTTCTCTCTCTCTCTCTCTCTCTCTCTCTCTCTCTCTCTCTCTCTACAAAAAATTCATCTCAACTTCAACTGAAATGATACAATCATAAAAACATAATTTTTGAAAGTTTTCTCTAAAGAAATAAGAATTATATATTTTTCAAATACAAATTCTTTTTCAATATTTTCAAACACTTCATATTATTCTTAAAAAGTCCACCAACTAATATTATTAATATGGCTGTACATTGGATTTATGCTATCCCCATATAACTCGTGTCTCCATACATGTGAGGTGAAAGTTCCGAAACTTCTTCGAAAGACCTTGTACAATACGCGATCACATTGTATATAACCATAAATAAATACAGTAATGGTATATTTAAATAAATACTGTATCTTTTTTAAAAGTGTGCAGTGTGATGTCAATTCTTATTTTCCATTATACGAGTTTCATTTCTATCATCATAACAGCATAAATGCATAAAGTCAGTGGTTCAGTGATGTTTTCGATAATATTTTGCAAAAGTATTACTTTTTTTATTTCGTTGCTAAAAATATTGCTATGTATCGATGGTTTATTATATATTACATTTTATTTTTTAGTTTATTTTGTTTAAGCAATAATTAGAACAAAGCGATATAACATTATTGACTTTTGAGCTATTTAATTTAACATAATAATCGTTCGACTGATTATTCGATTATTCTTCACGTTGTTAAATAAGATAAATATATTTCTCAACTGTTAAGAAGTAAGCGTATTGTATATCCTTTGTCTATTCAATTTATAAATAATGTCCTTCGACAATAAATATTCACATGATTTTATGAACGTCGAATTTATTTATACATAAATAAAATTAAATATCAACGTACATACATTCCTTATGAATCGTGTCATATATATTTATCGACATTAATATTAAAATAAATGAAATAGCAGAGCAGTGCTATTTGATTGTCAATTGTAACTCCTTAATTGCTTATTGGAATAACATTTTTCTATATTAACTCCCTCATGATCTGCTTAAAATATAACATTTCACGCGCTTTAATTAAAATACGAAATTTTGCAAGCCTCTTAACTTATCGTTTTCAAAATATTATTATATCTAATAATAAAAGTTGAAGAAAGCAGGGGGCAAAATTTTTTCACAAATTACGGATCTATGTTTATGTTTACCTGCGAGCTACTTGACTTATTTATATTATTTAAAGACTTTTAAATTTCTATGCTCAATTTTGCTGTCCTCTTATTTCTGCCTATTGACAATATAAATTGACAAATTAAAATTCTCTCCATACTATTATGAATAATACGAAAATACTAATTATCATGAAGTTTTCAATTTGTTTTTTGTACTTTGTATGATTCCCTAATGCACGTGAAAAGTTTGTAAAATACTTTTTTCTAAATATGATCGGTCTTGTGTTAATGTACGATCTGTAGTCGATAATACAGAATGACTATCATATCGACTTGAAGTTGCATTACGTTTATTACATAAATGTCGAAAGTATTAGATTCACAAATTAAAATGAGCAATCGTTTGTCAAAAGTATGTTGAGAATAATTCGAATTATGAACTAGAAATAATGTTAATTGGTCGAAATTTCTGATTCTAACTCTGCCAGCAATTATACAAGAGGAAGAGGACAAATTAACTCGCAAACTCCCACGCAAATGCATGCTTAATCCTCTAATGTACAGTCGGTAAAATCACTAAGGATGGCAAAGATCGGCTGCATAGCGCGCCATCTGAAAATATAAACACGTGTGTATAAAAGTTAAAAGTTTGTCGTTTGGTTATGATTGTATGCTCATTAAAGTACGTGAAAATTTCAAATGCTTTACATTAAAAAGTGATATAAATTTGCTGTGATCAACAATGTCGTTGAAAAAGAAAGAACCTACTTTAGCAAATAAAATAAGTGATTTGCTGACTAGTGTGCCGAAATCGTATGGATCGGATGAGGAGTGCGAAGTAACAAAAGCAAAAGTTGTCGATTATGATGAGGAAATCGATGCATTGAGTGATTTTAAAAGGGAATTTAATAGTTCAAACATTCGAACTCGTAATATTAATCTTTTGGAAGAGGCCGATGATAGGTGAGGAGAAGCATTAATCTCTAACTTTGTTTCAATTTATTTCTATTGACTTTTTCTTTTATCACGCACAATACATTTCCATGTATTTTCATTTAACAATTTACGTATATAAATTATAGGTACCAAGGCAGAAAAGTTTCGAAAAAAGAAATTTTTAATCAAGATGATAGTTTGGATGAGAGTAACGACGATGATGATGTGGACGATTCTATGGAAGGAAGCACGAAAGAAAATGAGTCGGATAATGAGAACGACGATGGTTCGTCGCAAGAAGATTCGGTGAACATGTCAGAGAACGAGGAGTACGATAACGAGTCTGATAACGAGGAAAATTATTCGTCGTTAGATATTTCAGAAAGTCAGTTAAACGAAGAAAAAGATAATACAGAATTATCGGATGAAGGCGAGGAAAAGGAAGCTAATAACGATGAGGACGATGTTACTGGTAACAGTCGTGCAGCTAATTCTTTGCTATTGGATCGTAGATCCAAAAGGGGCATTAAAACTATGACTGCTGTAAATATTCGTGCAGAAATAGAGAAAGCCAACTGTGTTCAAGAGCAGTTAAGAGTTTGGGAAAATTTTTTAGAAATAAGAATTAAATTGCAAAAGTTCTTGGTTAACAGCAACGCAATGCCACAGTACGATACGTATAAAACTTTTGAATCGAACGATGAATTTAAAAGCAAATGTACAGAATTAAAATCTAATCTTAGTGAATTATTAAATAACTTAATACAATTGCAGACTAATCTTGTAAATAATTATTCCGAGACAAAAGATCTTTTAACAAAAAGTAAGAAAAGAAAGAAGACGGTTGAGAAGGAAAGTGGGTCAGACTATGACACGATGGACGAGGAGATTCCTTCTGACACCGAAGATGACACGAATAGCGTTAATGAAAGTGACGGGGACTCGCAAGTAGCTGAAGAAGAGAAGAGAAGCAACAAAACAAAGGAATCGGCCAGGAAGAAAATTAAATTATCCGAGTTTGAAGGTGTTATAGATAAAAATTTTAAAGCTTACACGGATTATAGAAATGCCACAATTCAGAAATGGAATGACAAAACAAGGATCGCTTCGGGCATCATAAACAAACGAGCGAATCAGCCTGCTCTCAAACAAATCGAGTTCCTATTGGCTAATAAAGAGAAATTAATAAAGAAAACGCAATTAAAACGTTCTCAATACGATATCATTGGCAAGGCCACAGAATCTTTGGACAATGACGATGGCAATCGTGTTCAAGAGTACGATACAGAAATCTTCGACGATGATGATTTTTACCATCAGCTCTTAAGGGATCTTATAGAATTTAAATCAAGCGATATAACAGATCCGATACAACTGAGTAAGCAGTGGGTTCAATTGCAAAACATGAGGAGCAAAATAAAGAAGAAAGTCGATACGAAAGCAACCAAAGGCCGTAGAATAAGATATAGCGTACACCAAAAGTTGATTAACCTAATGGCACCCATGACGACATTGGATACGTGGACGGATCGCGCTAAGGATGACCTCTACAATTCCTTATTTGGCAAAACCCGATTACACAGCATCAAGGAACCAACATCCACGTAATGGAATTCATTATGTATATAAAAAGTCTTGTTGCAAGTGTAATATAATTTATTATAAATGTTTGTTATAACATTTTTGCAACGTGTTGGACGAAGTGCGTGTAAATGTAAATATAGTAAATTAACGAAACGATAATCAATGGTTTGTTTATCTTAAGGATAAAATGTTAATATTACAATTGACGCTTAATTATTGCACAGTGGTTTTTAATTTGAAATACCTTATTTTTTTTTAATACTGAAATACCTATAATTTTCACTGCTACTGCTTTTCCAGTTAATGTAATAAATATACAATTTACATTGTCTTTTAATTGTAATGCTGTCTTTTGACAATATATTTTTTTGTTTTCTCTTTGTTGTTGTAATATTTAAGATTTGTCGATAAATTATTTTACCATTCGAGTGCGAAATATTTTCTTCCTTGAGCATTGCAATTTCACATGGAAATTGGAAACGTTATTTTCCACTTTTTCGATATTCGTTGAGGCTGTATCAAGAATTCATCTAAGAATATTGATTCTATGCCCAGCACTTTCAAAGCCATTAATTCATATAAAGATAAATTGACATTAATTGCCGCGTGTGAATGCATAATTTGCACGAGTTGAATGCAATGTTTCTTATTACACAAGGCGCAACTTATACAACTATAAAATGAATTCTGGAGGGCCGAATTTATATATCTTATATTAGAATTGTAATGAGCCGAGGTCAGAGGAGTTAACTTTGAGTGGCAAAATCGCCTAGATGAATGACAGTTCGATATATGTATAGCAGCCACTTATGCGTATGTGATATGCGATTTATTCTCTATTTCAACAGTACATTGTTTTCTTCTTTTTCAATTGCTCATTATTTGTGCGCTGATGTAATTACGAGCCTTACTTTAAGAACGATTCTATCTATCGATAATACATAAGATTATTTTATATTTCATATTTTTCTCCATTCGCATTTGTTGTTTGTACGTACGTGATAAATGGGGCCGTATTTATCGGTGATTTGGCCAATTTTATGCCATACATCTATTCTAAAATTTAGCTTGCTTGAATTTTATCAAAATAATTCCTATTCCAAGTTAGGGGAGTTATTTTTATGTTGTAAAAAGTTTAAATAAGCGAATGATAAAGAAAAGTCATTCAATTATCATAATTCATCATTGTGTTTTAGAAAAATGTTTCTAACGTGTTAAGCGTATTGTTTTCTTTGAATGCCCAGATTAATTATACGCGAAAATTTTAAATTCTCTGATTGAATAAAATCTACATTGTACATAGAAAAAAGTATTATTACAAAAAAAAAAAAAAAAAAAAAAAAAAAAAAATTCAATAATAAATAGTTCGCAACGTTGTTTTTCTATTAAATTTTTCTATTAAATATATTGTAATGTTATTAGTTTAGTTGGTAATAATATTCATAAATTATGAAATTGACATATACTTTATAACTTTAAATAAATTTATTATATATTTGTCTATCTTCTATAATACGTATGACATTATAGTATTTCACATTTGTATTTGATATACATATATATATATATATATATATACAAAAAAAAAAAAAAAAAAAAAAAAAAAAAACCCCGCACTCGTACACGAAGCCACAAATTCGATTACATGCATTGAATGTTAAGCATACAACTTTACTTTACCAAATGACTTTTGCTTCGAGAAGATAAAGTCACTCGTGATATTGCAGGAAAAATTGAATGCCTCGTAACATCATCACGAGACGAAACTTTTACTTTATTATTCATAATCTAGTTACAGTCAAAACCTCGTTTATCTTCTTTATTGGCGCTGTACGATTATTTTGAAGAGTAATGTACCTTACTCTACTTATCGTTGTTTTTTATGTTTTTCGAGCTTCCGATTCTTTTAAAAGCTTACCCATATGAAATAAGAATTATTTATCAAAACGATAAGTCAATCCAATTAAACTGTATTAGCCTCTTTTTATATAGTAAGTCTATTGTCGATTAGATAATGCAATTATTTAACAACGGCATTTATTAAAAAAATATTATATTAAAATAATTTCCTTCTGGCGATTCTGCCAGCACACTATCAATGCTAACTAATAAAATTTAAATTACTTTTTATTACATCAAGTTTCAATAATTGGTAAATAGAAGGAAAAAAAAAACTAAATCCCGATAATTATATACATTAATTTAACTTGTATTTTTTTTTTTTTTTTTTTTTTTTTTTTTTTTTTTTTTGTTGATAGTATTTTATCTATCATATGATGTTTTTGATTAATCATTTTTTATATTTATTTTTTGAAAATATCAAAAAATTCTACGAAATCCTATTTCATTAATTGTAAACAACTATTACATGTCATATTCACTTATTGATGTATATTTGGTTTTTATCATCATGAATTCAATAAATTAGTGAATAAGAGTCAAGGAAACACGAAGATAAAAAATGTAATCTAAATTAAAAATCGTTCGTAATATTGGTATTGCTGCAATACTTTCACATTTTTAGAAAACAACCAGTAGTGTCATTCATAATAATCATATCGAGAATTCATACATTAACTAACACAATATTATTATTCATACATATGCTCTGTAGAACTATTCCAATGAATTGAATTATGCAAAAAATTATGAGCAATAATTTTTTTAATTATGGCCAGAGAGGGAGAGAGAAGACACAAGAGAAAATTTCTTCATTTTTGGAAACTACTGTGTTAGATATAGTGGCTGATGCAGAAACTTGAAGACGTCGCATAGAGTGAAATAGATGATTATCGGACATCATTATCGCAACCTACCAGTTTCATGGCTTTTAAGTTGTATAAGTTTTCTATTACACCCCCCCCCCCTCTCGCTCTCTCTCATTCTTTACTTTATTATATTTTATTTTTAATTTCATAATTAATAAGCATCAATCAAATTAATTGTTAAATTTATTATTATTATTATTATTAATTAGTAAAATTAATAAGAATATAGAGTTTTCGAGAAACGGTAATAAAATTTCTCTTTTATTGTAGTAACATGTTTTTAATGAAATTTTTTTAATTTCGTCATATTAAATCACATGTAGTTACGATACTTGGAATGAAATTCCCATTTTTGACAATAAAATATTTGAATATGTAAAAAATACTATTCAGAATTATTATAGAAATCATTAAACTGTGAAGTTATTGTAGCGTAGATTTTTATTTCCAATAATTTATACAATTTATTATAATTAATTATATTTAAGCGGCTAAGACGATCAAGACAAATGCATATAACAAATAATATAACAGTTATAATATTTTTCTATTTTTATTCTTATTCATCCTTAACTTATACTTTCTATTCACATAATAAAGTGGTTGACTAATATTAAATAAGAAAAAACTACAAAAATTAAATATTTTCAACTTTAAGGCCATTTTTATTATTTACATAATATATTGGTAATATGTGATATGTTGAAATATTTTTATATTTCCAAAATATTTTTGTATTAAATACGATACGAACAGTCTGTATGTATAATTTGTAAGTGGGTGTTGTAGTATAAAAAAAAAAAAAAAAAAAAAAAATTCTTTATATTTACGCCATACAGCACCGACTTGTACTTTTCACAGATTTTAATGTATGTAAATATTATTCCACTTATTTTATCATAAAATGTTTGGTTTATCGTAAAAATTTCTATACACGTATTTTGATTTAGTATTAAAAAAATATTATATCTTTAAATCGAACAGTTATTCGAATTTATTATATTTAAACATATTGTAACATAATTAAATTACCGTTTATTTTTAATTTTACTTTTATCGATCTAATGTGAATAAGTTGTGAAATCATAATTAATTAAGGAAAATCATTATTTTTTTTTCATATAGTTACCAATTTAAAGTTTATATATGCATTCTATTTTATAGTTCTTTTTTTTTTTTTTTTTTTTTTTTTTTTTTTTTTTTTTTTTTTTACTATCAGTGTAAATTAGCGTGATCTATAAAAACGCATATAGATTTTACGAATACTATATGATAATAAATGTACCAAATGTATTTGGTATTTTTTGCCAGATAAATATTATTCAACTAACAAATTTTTATTAATAGATGCAGTACTGCAACATATCATAAAAATATTATCAAATAAACTTTTCATATTATTCGCTATTGCATCTGTGAAATATCTCGTTACATGTTTAGCCGAAGGCTCATATTTATTACATTTATGCTTAGAATTAAAATAATCAAATAAATCAAGCGATTTTATCGCTATTTTATATTCCAATTTAATTATAGGTATTTTAATCAATTGTGCTATAAAGAAATTGTTAAACGCTCTTCGAAAAAAAAAAGAAAAATAAAAGGAAAGGTAATAAAATTTAATAATTGTTAAGAAAAAATAATATGAAAACATTATCCTTAAGTATAATTCATATTATGAAAAATTAAGTTGAGGTTTAAGGTTGAATTATAGATTTACTAGCTAATGTAATATTGCCCTTTCATCGCTGAAATTCATTCCGTAGTTTATAAATTTATCTCTTATATTCTTTATTTTGTAATATCAGTCTCGTATTTTAAATAAAGTAAATAATACATATCATATTGTATTTAATTTATGACCTTTTAAAGGAAAAGCATCAAGAAGTTTAAATTAAACAAATTATTAAAGAATAAAAATAAATTTTGTCAATTAAGCAGACATTGCATGACTTTTATGTTTATTCGAATAAGTATGCTAATGGATGGAAACGCGTTTATAATTTTCAAAACGCGAAACGACCATTTGTAGGCAAAATTATTAGTTCGCTTTACCCTTTCATACACATTTTTGCATATAATCAGACACATCTGGCTTATATAATATGAATAATAATTTTCAGTTTTCAATATTATTGTAATTGTTATCCCATCGGATCGCAACGATATTAGTAATAATTGCATCGCTCGTTGCTCAATCTTAAATTATAAAAAAAAATATATATATATATATATATATATATATATATGCGTATGTATTTCTCCATCGAACGTCGCTTGGTATTTTTTTTCATTTCATTTTTTCTTTTTCTCATATAATTGACGAAGAAAATAGTTTAAGTATAAGTTGCCATTAATGAGCCAATAATCATATGAAATATACCGAAGTTTAATACTTTAATCGTAAAAATATTAATATTAATTTTTCTAATGTGCATTGATTTGATGATGTGTATTGATTTTCATAAATGCTTGTTCGTATGCTGCATTAAGTAAGACTTACATATCAGTATTTATATTTATGAAAAGGCTAATATAGTTAATTAGTGAAAAATATAACATAGACAATAATAATTTTACAATATGATATTACAGTAATGTTTAACGAAGTAAAATTATTAAACATAAAAGTCACTTAAATATAAAAATTAATCGAATAAATTTCATTTAAAAGCATACAAATACGAGATATCAAAATGTATATAAAAGTCAATTTCATCAAGTAGAGTTGAAAACAAATAAACGTATTTGAATAAACAGTAATGTAGATAAACTACACTTTTTATAAAGAACGAAAATGCTGATATGCAAAGATTGTAAATGTAAGGGCGTGAATCACATTAGATGTAAATAATAGGTAAAGAAAAGTATTATACGATAAATATTAAAAATATAGAAAATAAAGTTTTATTGTACGTTTTAAGTAAAATCGAAGCGTGAGAATATTATTGATTAAAATAAACACAAGATTTTGGGGAGAGAAATTTTTCATTTAAATTTCATTATTATTATTGCATTGTTCGCTTCATCTTAATCTTATGAAATACTTCTTGAATATGTCGAGGCAAAATTATTTTGTTATTATTTTATCTTCTATTGTACAGCGATAGGACAATACTTGGTCTACTTTTTTTCTCATCACTATTTTAAGGATTTCACAATACGTAGTTCATATTCCATGGATAACATTTAATATTAAGGAATAGTTTTCGTTCTCCAATATAGTAGTTAAATAGTTATCTTGAAAGTTTAATTTCCTTTCGGTGCTTATGTCGCTACTATTATTCATTACGAGCGATAGTAGTTATTTATAATAATAATAATAATAAAAATAATAATTCTTATTGTTATTACGAATTATGCAGATTGTTGATATTGAGAGACAGACAGAGAGAGACAGACAGAGAGAGAGAGAGACAGAGAGAGAGAGAGAGAGAGAGAGAGAGAGAGAGAGAGTGGTGGTCGCAAGCAATTGTTTTACATTCTGGACCGATGAAATCATGTGGGCTCGGCGGCCGATCGGACAGACAAGGCATTAGCCGATTAAACGGCAGATTGGACGAGCGCGAAGACGAGGAGCGCCGATGGATTACAGTGGCCTTATCGTAAGCAGCTTCCCGCGATATTACCTCCTGACGAATAAATCCGCGCGCGGGCGCGCGCTCTCGCCCGTGTTGCTTGCTCTCCTCTCTGTCCGCGGGCGTAATTGCGCGTCGATGTTCGCAGACAGTGGCAGCGCGTATCAGCGCCGGCCTGACCCTTGACCGGGTGCGCGGCTCGAGACTCCGAATGGAGGATCGAGTCCGGGGCCTCGGCGAATCCGCAGTCGCTTCTCGTCCTCGCGAGCCGTCGTCGCCAGCGCCAACGCCTCCTTCCGCGAGGCGCGACCAGCAGCGAAGCCGCGACTCCTCGGGGCGAGGCCTCCGTAACGGGCCGATGCACGACATGCGGTTATGACGTTCTCCAGGGCCGGAAGTGAGGAGCTCGAGTTGCCGCCAAACGTGGGCACGAGGTCACGGGAGCTCGACCTGGCCTAGGTAAGATCGTTAATCGATTGTCGTCGGGGACGCTGTGTGGCCCTTGTACGTAATTCGCGTAGCCCATTTCTTTCCTTATGGAATGGATCTTTGGGTGGACGGGGCGATCGGGTGCGCGTACTTACTCAGCTGGAAAATCCATTTCCACCGGGGATTTCCGATGGGCGTTTGGTGTTGTAGCCAGTCTTGGGATAATGTCGCATTGCCCGATAAAAAGTTTTTTTCTTTCCTTTCTATCATAAGACATTTATAATTGTCAATGCTTCCTCAAAAGCATCCGCACGATGTTTATAGTCAATGTGCTTGTAAGTGACGGAGCAGAATATCATCGCGCACGCACTGTTTCTCTCTCTCTCTCTCTCTCTCTCTCTCTCTCTCTTCATCTTCTTTATCATCTTCTTTCATCGTTTTCCACGCTTCTGGCCAGCGAGGTGATTGAATAGGAAATATGAACCGTAAGATACTCGTAAATATCTGAACGGTCTAATTGACATAATGTAAATGGCCAAAACGGTCATTGGCGATTTGTAGCGATCGAATGAAAAATCTATTGACTTAGTGGATGTGCCCTGCACACGTCGTTTTTATCAAAAAATGTTAACGCCTTACGTAATTATCATTGTTCTCGATCGAGCATCGTTTTCAAGAATGTTGGATGAATCGATGATTGACGTTTGCTTATTAATTTTACATTTACTATTTTGGGCGACGTGTTTCTTATAGTTTATATGTGGCGCGTTTGTGTTGGTATTGTATTATATAAGTTTTGTCTTGAAATTATGTAAGTTTTGAGCGTAACCAAGAGTTTTCGACTAACATTTTTACAAAGTCTCGTTCGTAATAATTTTTCGAAACCAAAAGACAAAGACAAAAATTGAAAAACCAAAATTGACAGAAAACAAAATATAATGAAAGATAAAATGCATTTTATTAAGTTTATTATGAATTTATCGTATTGATTTTATAAATTGCTCTTCCTCCTTGCATATATTCAATGAATAATGCCGTACAATAAAAATGTTCTAGTCGCTTGCAATAGTTGCATAAATGCTCGGCTGAATTTATGCTTTGATATTGGTATAACAAAAATCTTTCCTCCGCTCATCATCGCCCCGACACATGCGCGCATTAGAAAAAAAGAAAAGAAATGAAAAAGTAGGACGGAATGCCAGCAGAACGAGGCATGAAAAAAAAAAAAAACAATCAGAAATTTATAATGCGATCGTTCTGCGAATACATTCTTAGATTATAAAAGTGAGAATAAAAATGCACACAAACACTGTCACGTGCATCCTTTGCCGATTAGGGAAGTCGACTTTTGTCTGCAACTCGCGTCATTTGTTAAGCGGAATGGCGGGTAAGATGGTATCGTGTCGTCCAATGATTCCCGACACTAACAAGACGCGATGTGGACGTTCGATATTTATTTCTAAATAAATAATACGCGATTATCCTTAGAAGCAGGGAGAAACGAGGCTCGGACCTTTACCTACTAATCGATACATTCCTTAATCAAAGTTTTCGTAGACGCGTGCAGTCCAGCACGGAACCGGCGCACCTTATCTTAAATAAATTAATAACGTGGAAAAATAATCGGCTTACGACAAGTAAAATACATAATGGTTATTGCGCCGGATAAATAATTGCAATTATGCAATTAATTTCAGACGAAGATTTCGAAAAATGATGACCGATACTTATGTCAAGACTGTATATGACAAGAGTGAAATAGATGGAGTAATTTAATAATAAGCGCTTAATAAGTTCCGAGCGAATGGAAATTGATTGTATTTTGATTAAATTTGATTAAAAAAAAAAAAAAAAAAAAAAAACAGTCGGCAGTGAAAGAGAATTGATAATTATTAAAAGACAGATTCTTTAAATGTAGTTTTTATTGTAATTGTTTAATTACATATTTATTTCGCCGTTACTGCGTTTTGTGTTTAATAATTTTAAAATTATTAATTTATCGCGAATAATATAAAAACAATGCTATTGTTGCAAGATAACTACTGTATTCATCTAACAGAATCTAAGGAGATTAGCTTAAAAGATAGAATTTGTACCTTCGTATTAGCAAATTTTCTCGTGGTAATTATCATTCTATAATAATAATAATAATAAAGTATCATGTCATTGATTTAGAATAAATATTCAGTATTGTGAAATATTTTTCTGTTGCTTTGTGGTGCATGAAGTAATTATGACTTTGCTCGCATTTTTAAATGTACGATTTAGCATTAAGAGCTTATTTATTTATAAAATTTTTCCTCAAACAATAGCAATCGATATTACAAGTATTACTTCGTAACTATAAACTATTCAATAAATATTATAATTGACTGACGTATAACCGAACATTAATGTTAACACATAACATATAAAAGCCTGGTGTGTCTTAAGCCAAATAAAGCACTCTCTCTCTCTCTCTCTCTCTCTCTCTTTCGTAGGATTATATATTATAAAAAGCAATTTAACCCACACCTGCAATACGTACGACTGTGAATTTTAATTTACCAAAAAAAAAAAAAAAAAAAAAAAAAAAAAAAAAAAAAAAAAAAGAAAAGAAAAGAAAGAAGAATACTTTGTTTCACTCGATTTACATGAGTACTCGCAATAAATTGAACTTTAGTAGACGAAACATATAATACCGTTGTTTTTGTATCTCATTTTCCTCTCTGCCCCTCTCGTCTTCGATCTCTTTGGCCCTCGTGCTAGTTTTATGATAACATAAATAACATTTCAATTAATTTTGAAAAATATATGACCTATATTTCGTCAGTTGTCTACTAACACCGATACGACAGACTCGCGAGATATTTAACACTTTAATATTACGCGTAATAATAAATTTCCGTGCAATAATTTAAAAAACATGCATACTCTATTGCATTATAATAATGCATAAAGCTAGGATTAATATTATATTTGTAAGTGTAATTACGATAGTTATAATCAGTATCGATAATTTACAATTCATGATAGTGTATTTAACACTTATACAAAGAATGTGTGAGTACTCTTCATCAAACAAAAGAATAAGAACTGAATCATCGTACAGTTAAGAAATTTCCTTCCAATATCTTCAACAATTTGACCTTCTCTAATATGTATAAAAGTACACGTACAGACGCGCGCGCACACACAAAATGCGTGATTTAATGAATGCATTAGTAAAATTTGTCGAGGTTCGTAGTACTTTTTAAGCCTTTTACATAATAGTCGAATAAAACTTGCGTGATTATAAATCATATATCTTTAACTATAACATAATTTAAGTAGATGTATTTTGTGTGTGTGTGTGTGTGTGTGTGTTTGTGTTTGTGTGCGCGTGTGTGAGTGTGCGCGTGCGTGTGTGTGTGTATATATATATATATATATATATATATATATATATATATATATATATATATATATATTTATTTAGAGTACAAATCTTCATTTTATGTTCAGATATCATGTAGTCGATGCTATATTGGTATGTTTATCTTAACGGTTATGTATAGACATTGAAATATAAAAATCAATCTAACAAATACAAACTTCAAACATATAAAAGCAATGTTTTATGTCGTTGTTTCTTAGTTATATCGATAGTTTATTGATTGTTTAGAAAGCTTACATATAGTTAATACTGAATATATAATTATTTGACACTACGTACTTTTTATTGTGATAAATAAGTATGCACGTGGAATGTTCGTAAAAAAATTTCGCTAGCGATTCACGTGAAACTTTCATATGCATTCTTTACTAAAAATTTTCTAGTTTTCTCCGCGTAATCTCTATAATAATTGGATACTTAAGCTTAATTTTGTATTGAGGTAATTCCATCATTTTTCTACTGCTGCCAGTTTGATAAGCAATAAAAAAGGACAATTATTCATAACGTAATTAGACAAACACATTTAAAAAATTGTACATTTACAAATAATTAATTACTCCACCTGTACCGTATACTTTGGAATATCGAAATATTTTTTTATAATTTATTCAATTTCTCAAGAATAAAAATATTTTTCAGTTTTATGAGCTAAATGTGCTTACATTCGCTTTGTCATTTCATTGATCAATTAAATTAATCACTTTCTTTTGCTATTTTATTAAAATAACGATTATTTCGTATAAAATTAGATTATTATGATGCAATTACAATAAAATGAGATTATAATTTTTGTTATATTAGTAAACAGTATTATGCTTAATAACATTAAGTCTTTTTTTATTTAGATTTTCTATATTGTCTCATTTGGAATCATTCGGTCGATCTAAATTCTTATAAAAGAATAATTATGATGTACTTTTAGAGATATTTTATGCAACAAAAATACTTAAAAAAAAAAAAAAAAAAAAAAAATATTAGAATAAATATTAACATTGAATTCATTTGTTTTCACAATTACATTAAATATTAAAAATCTTAGTTTTGACATAATATTGCTTTTATTATTTGTTGCCATTGACGAATATGAAAAGAATACACGTTATTTATATTTTTTACAGCGGTTTTATGAAGAAACGAAATATTTTTTACTCTAAAATTATTAAATTTAATGACAGTCAGAACGATTTTTTGTTAAACAAAAGTCAAAATTATAATATTAAAAAAGCAATTATATTTTCATTAGTAATATCTTTATATTAGATTATGTAAATAAAAAAAATATCAATATATGACTGTTCTAGAGAAAGAAATTTATATATATATATACTATTCTTATAATTTTATCGTTATTAAAAATGATGTAGTTTAGAAGCTATTTGTTTTATATAAATTTTAAGTACTATATTTCTTAAAGATATATATCTTTAAAATACCATTTTATAAGTTAGGGAAGAACGAGATTTATGGGAGATATAAGTAGGAAATAGAAATTAATTGGATATGAGAAGAGAGAAAATGAGTGAATTAGATACAAAAAGAGCGATAGCTGGAGAGAGAGAGAGAGAGAGAGAGAGATATATAGATAGATAGACAGATAGAGAGAGAGAGAGAGAGAGAGAGAGAGAGAGAGAGAGATGATGATGATGATGAACCTATTAGTGTGAAGGAGAGTTTAGTAAAAGCAGGAAGTTTACGAATGTCACGTGTGAATTTTATTTGGTTGTGATCTATTGATGTGAGTGTCGTTTGGACGTGTAGTGCCCTAAGAAGGAACAAACCGACTGATGGAATCATTTCGTCTTCTATTATTAGCTTAAAATTTAATGGAATGCCCTCGCGAAATAAATTGCGAGTGACATTTATGTATCCACTTAGTACTTTAATAGTTTACTCTCGTTTCCGTATTTATATTAAATATCATTTCGTATTCGCTTACTTGGCACAATAAACATTACACTACATTTTCTTTCCTATTGAGTTTGACTTAATGATTCATCCACGTGTTTATCCAGACGCACATATTATCGTTAATTGGTTTCGCATGGATTTATGGTCCATTATTACTGAAATAGGTTTATCGTGAATTGGTCCTGGCACGCGTACAACTAGACGCGAGGAACTTTTCTCTCAGGCTCCAATCAATCTGTTCGACGCCTCAATAATCAGCCCACGTCATTTACGATCGTAACTCGTGACAATTAAGGCACAGCATCTCTTAACACCCCTAGAGATCCTTAAATTTCCCGGGCAGCGACAGTGGAGACCGATTGATCCTTGGCGCAGGTCGAAAACGGTGAAAAAACGGGGTCCTGGTCCAATAGCTACCGCGGCTTCTCTTCCCTCTTGAGGGAGCGCTCAGGGCGAATGGAAAAATCCAGGGGAAAAATCCGACGAGGGGTGGTGAGATCGAGACGTTAGTATGCGCGCGTGTCGCGGGGGGACAAGGACGCGCGCACGCAGCGTCGCTCGTCCGATGGCGAGGAGCCGACCTGCGCAATCGTCCTCGGCCCCGGCGACTCGATGGCAATCGCGCGTCCCGCAGTGTAAGGGTCGCCCGTCCCCACGAGCGGATCACCTCGAGGCTCCGGCGAAGGCTATGTCCACGTTAATTGCCGACGGCGATTAACGGGTGGCGCCGCTAATCCCCCGCTCACCGGATTAATGAGGACTATCGGGCGCGACGTCGACGCGAGCTTTGGCTTCCCCGTGATGTGGCACGAGCGCACTGGGCCGACCTGGACGACTCGGGCCCCGAGTCAGGCAATCGTTCGTCCCCTTTGATCGCGTCGTTTCGCGTCTCTTGTTCGGAATTTTTAGTAAGGGTGCCATAAGCTTGTGGCGCTTGTCCCCGTGAAGATTCTTTTCAAGGTATGATTCTTACCTCACTGACGACGCCATTTATCTTTCAAAATCAGCTTTTACTTCTGGTGCAAATAGTTTTAACGAACGATCGATTATTTTCTCTTATTAGCCAGCGGCGTTAATTCTCAGCAATTTGATTCCGTTCGTTAAATGTACGAGACGATGATTCAGGTGCCATTTATTAGGATCAGTTTTTGTTTTTCACGATCCTTTATCATGATTAGCCGCGCATTAGTAGTTGTAATAGTAAAAGGGCACATAATTTTCATATCGCCTACTCATAATAATATAAATGATAACATTTTTAATAGACTACTGTTGTCCATATATGGGTACTATAAGTTTTTAAATACAAAGCGATATTATCAATTTTATTTTCGTAATTACTTTCGTATTATTGTTCGTTATATTGTTCATTATATTCGTTGTTTTTAACTAAATATTCCAACACTTATGACATTGCATTTACGTGTTTAATGATATTTTAAGGAAATCGTTTATCTTAATCAGCATGGGAAAACATCTGTTCTCAAGAGTCAATTGATATTATCTATACTAGTAGTTTAAATTACATTTTTGTACAATTTTACAATTACAATGCAGTGTACATGATTAAAAGCAGCACCTGTGTGGAGTTTTAGTCTTTTTGTATTGTATCATTCGATCGATCGATCTAGGCTGATTTTTGTTTTTGTTTTTGTTAAAATAAAAACAGATTGTTGATCATTTTTTTTTTGTTTTTCATAGTTTTTCATAGTTTAAATTATGCCAAGTATGGCATCGCACGGTATTAATATATATATATATATATATATATATATATATTTATTTGTTTATTTAATAAAATTAATACGTGCATAAAAAAGCATTACATTTATAATAAATATTTATGTTTTTATCTATTTTCTGTGCTTAATTATGTGCTTCATCGGGCAGCTTTAACAAACGGAAATAATTATAACATATCAAGCAGTAATTACTGACAGCATATAACTATATTGAAGGAGTTTTTATATTTCACACTTTGCTTTACATAATTACAGAATTACACTTTTTTTACATTATTAATCTTATGACATAATATAGTATAATAATATTTGTAAATTATTGAGATTATTTTTAACTCAAATTTTATATAAAATATTATTAAATTTTAGAGTCGTAAGAGTATTAAAAGCTATTGGTTTAAAGAATAAATCTTATATGACAGTTTTTCTCCAAGTCGTTTAATTCAAAAGTTTTATAATATTAGCCTTTAATAAAAACCTTACAATACTACATACATTCATATGAAAAATATTAAGATGGATCTGATAATATTCAGAACACTTGATAAATTTTCTTCTTATACGTGAATAATTACAGCCATTTTCATTATGATAAATTTAATATTTTCATTGAAATATGTAACAGTAATAAGTTTTCAGAGATACTTGATACAGAATGTTGCGTTGAGTGTATGAATTGAGATTATTAAATTGAAGTTAACGAGATAGATTTATCCAGTATATTTTCTATAAATAATTAGATACATTTATTTACTTATATATTTTTAATTGCATCGTTTAAAGTTAAAGTTTTCTAAACGAGGCTATGTGAAATTATTTTATTCATTATCTTTTTTTATTATTACTATCTTTACATAATTGGTGAAAGTAACGAAGCATTTTAAAATTATATTATTGACGTTTTAATTAATTTGTAATAAAATATTAAATAAATATAAATAATTTATCAGACATTTCGATTACAGTTTATGTATCATGGGAAATATAAGCATTAATTTTTAATTAAATTTCAGCCGTGCAAATATCAATAATAAATAAGATAATTTAATCATTGATTATACATTTTTGTTATTTTTATATATCGAAAAACAAATGAATTAATGTTTAATATATATAAAGTCTTAAAGGTTTACATTTATTCGGAATTTTTTCTACGTCCTTTTTTTTTTTCTTCTACTGTTTTTATGAAATATATGATTTGGGAAATTTTAGAGTAACTTTGACAATCAATGTTATATTCATTACGAATATATTCAAATTTATTATCAATTTTTGAAATTAATTAATTAATTAATGAAAATCCAATAGTAAATTAATTTTTATTCGAAGCACATTTTTCAGCATTGCGTTTTTTTTTTCATTGATCTATTCATTTTTTTTTTTTTTTTTTTAATACTTCTTTTAATATTAAATAATGTAAGTTGAAGCAGCAGTGGAGATTATTGTGTTTTTATTCTTTAATGTTCCACTTAAAACGCGATGATTTTTTGAACTTTGATCTCTAGAAAATTTATTATTTACTTAAAAGAAAAATTCTGGAAATCAGATTTCTGCGATTCTTTGATTAAATATGACCTCTTTGCCTAGAGAAAATGGATAAACTTTTCCTCTCCCTTGTATTTGTTATTGTTTTTATTATCTATCTTTTTAATTTTTTTTTTTTTTCGTAATTTGATAGTTCGTCAATATCGAATGAAGTAGCCCATTGTACAATAAATGTAATATTGCACGAATTATTTTTAATATTACAATACTAAGTTCCATGTTCTCTCAGCTCTAAACGACAACGCGTCTATAACATTCGAGTCAATATATTTTCAACTTCTTATCGTATCTGTCGGGCGTGTGTGCCTGGGTTCTTCAATATGTATAAGACACGCGAGTTTTTATACGAATAACGAGCATTGAGTAATAATCAACGGCGCTACATACAACAGTACTTAACAAGTCCTTACGGCACAATACTCGATATTTACGCTTTAACAATGTCCACGTTCGCCCACCTCCCCCCCCCCTGAATGAATAATTTTGTTTAAATGTCACTAGCAAATCATCCTGAAAAAGAACTCGCCATTTTTAAGTAATCGCGAAGAATTCTTTGAATTTCTCGAGCAATGCATTAACGCAGTAGGGGCAAAATTTTGCTAAGCAGCGTGACGTTGCAGAGCCCGAGGTAGGATGTCACCGAGGGTCCTCTCAACGATGAACGCGACGTCGGCTCCGATGAACTACGAGGATCTATCGCTCGACATGCGCTTCAACGACGGCCACGTCGTCAGCATCGTCACCTACAGCGTCCTTCTGATCGTCTCGGCGATCGGCAACATCACCGTCCTCGCGCTACTCTTGCGTCGTCGCGGCAACGCCGCTCGCACAAGGATCAACACGATGCTCATACACCTGGCGATCGCCGACCTTTTGGTGAGTAGCTTTTCAGCCGATTCGCCCGCTCGTCGCCGAAGCAATTTGCACCACGAGCCTTCGTCAATTACTCCACCTTTGTCATTGTGATGCAGTGGCGAAGGTAAGCGAGCGCTTGGCTGCCGACAAAAGCCTAAACTCGATATGTCTCGATCGGTTGGAGTAGTGCTGTCTTGTGCGTACGTCGACAGCCAAATATGTGACTTATTTATAAATAATTTATGAAAATATTGGATGAAATGACATTCGTTCTTTCTCAAGTTTTTATCTAATTGCGGCTAAATGTTTATCGTAATTTGATGCAAAATCATATCGAGTGGGATATGAGATCGGCATTAATGGCTTGAGATGACACAACAGCTAATCGCACCACCCTGAAACTTATTTTAATTTTCCAATTAATAATTGGCATTGCAGATTGCGTATTATAATAAGTCTGATGTTTATTCAATAATGATGGCCTATAACTTTGTTTATAAAATCGAACGATCGTTTTTTTTTCTTTCTTTTTTTTTAGTCGGATTAAGCTTGGACTTTGCGCTGCGATTATAATACGAGAGTAATGTAATTTGAATAAATTAATACTAACGCCTTGGTTGAGAGATGGAATGATGTTGCCAGTGAATATGTAAGATTGGCAAATTCCCGGGAAATGTCTTTGTTGCTTATTATATGTAACGAAAGTGAAATCCGTTCGGCAGATGATCTACTGTCGTTACTTATGCACCTTAAAACGAAGAATTTCGTATGTTTTTTTTTTTCGCCTTGTTCGTGATATTGAAAGATTGAAATTGTACATTTAGAGACTCGAAGGGTACGATGTCATTGTGAAATAAGAGAGAGGATATGTGCCTAAGATATGAAATATTTGGAAATAAAAGTAATCAAAGAGGGGCAAATCAAGAGTTGTATCGTCTGTATTAAAGTATAAAAGCAATCTAAATCATCAACAGGATCGAGCATATAAATGATCCAGTGAATCTACTGGGTGTCAGGTGAACCACATTCCTAATAAATTAGAAAGAGTAGGAAGTTACCGAGAAAGATAAAACTTATGCAGGAATCGTCTGTATCGAAAAAACTCTTAAAAAATTTCTATTAAAATCATTATTATAATAGTATGATTGTGTAATAAACATATTGTGTAATATACAGCACAAATAAGATAATTATACGCTTTAAAATTTATAAGAAGCATTATAAGAATGTTACGAGATTAATTTTTTAAATAAATTAAGCACAAGAACGCGAATCGAACTTCCAACGACGATATATTAAAGTATTTAACGTCTTGAATTTCTTATATAAGAAAGAAAAATTTGCAAAAAAAAAAATGTAGCGAAATATATTTATTTACAATATTTGTCGTCTTATCTTTGATTTACAGATAGAAAACCATAAATTTTATTTAATATTCTAGCATTATTGACTTTTATTAAAAAATCAATGTTTCTCTATATGACTTTACTTTATGCTTTTATATATATAATATATTGTACTTTTCATATTATACTTGCACATTACAAAATTAACTTTACTTCAAAGAATATATTTCTTAACTTATCATTAAATGTAATTTAAAATACATTCTTACGTTCACTATTAATATATAATTCATTTCATTCTTAATGATAATTGGAGCATTTATGCCGTACAATTTTCACAAATTCCTACCCTCGTAATCGGGAGAAATATTTGCAAAATATGTACAACTTAATATTATATTTGATGAAGCATAAATTATACAATATTAAATAGAATATAAAAATCATTCGTGTCCTTTTATTAAAATAAATTAAAGTTAAATTATTTCATCCGTCCCTTTTATTTTTGGTAATGTTATATTAAATAAAAATTAGCGTATTAAATTTGTTTGTCAAAATTATAATCCCATAAATATTACAAATATTACAGTTTAACACATATGGCTCGAGGATTTATTTTAAACTACAATTTTAATGTATTCGATTTTTTTTTTTTTGTTTTTTTTTTTTGTCTAAACATTCGAGGCAAATAAATATTTATTTCCACGGATAATGAGAGAATAATATCATTGCCTATGTCGAGTTAAATATACGATGTCACACCATATGCGTGCGCGTGCGCGTGCGCGTGTGTTTCTTTTAAATTTTAAGACAAGCATTTAAAAATGCACGTCTTAATCGTTGGGGGAAACAGTTAAAACATCCGAGGAGAGCTTAATCGTTTCTTAATCGCTGACTTAACCTATCGCATTATTTAAATTTCAATTATCGATGAATCGCGCTAGTTTGAGAATCATAGGTAACTGGTGTAGTCATCTTATTACGCCAATAAATAATCATTTGATGATTTATCGATGAAGTAATTGGAATAAAGAATTATGTCGAATAAACAGAGATGTTTTACATTAAATAAGTATGCGTGGCCTTGTGTGTGTGTTTCAGGTAACGTTCTTGATGATGCCTTTGGAGATCGGATGGTCCGTTACTGTGTCGTGGAAGGGCGGCGACGTGATGTGCAGGATAATGTCCTTCTTTAGAGTGTTCGGCCTCTACTTGTCCTCGTTCATTCTAATCTGTATCAGCGTCGACAGGTGCTTTGAAAATATTTAATAAGCATGTCATGGAGAGAGAAGGAATTTTTATAGAGAATAATTGAAGCCCCGAACGAATAAATCACTCTCGAAGCTTACAAGTCATTTTAAAGAGAAGAAATGCTTTTATATATGTCGAGAGATAGCTTTTACAACAAATGTCAGGAAAAGTTCGTATTCTCCAAAAGAGAATATATGTACATTCTTATAAATTACAATTTTAATTGATGTTAAGATAATTTGTTCAACTTATCATGAGAACATTATACATACAAAGTTCATGTTTATTACACGTATTATGTCATGAAATGGCCTCAAACTGTTAATTTATGTTGGGGAGCAACAATTTTTCAACCAAATCTCATCCAAGAATATTATGTTTAACGAAAATTATCTGCAAGTAGATAATAATCGTTCATATTAATGTGTATTCCTATTAAATACTATTATTTTAGTATTATATTAGTGTATGAAAACGTGATTGAAAAAGACATTACGTCAGATCTTACGAATATTTTTTGGTATATCGACGTAAAAAATGAAGTCTTAATCAATTTTAATCAAATTACGTTGTTGGAGTAATTTCTGCATCTTAGTGAACAACTCATTCAAACTTTGCAATTTTCAGGCACAATAAGCATAATATAGTTTTAACGCACGAACTTGACATTAAAGAAATATTCTCCTTTTAGATATCACGCAGTCCTGCGGCCATTACAAATGATCGATATAGATCGTAGAGGTCGATTTATGATCGCTGGTTCGTGGATATGTTCAGCGCTTTGTTCAGCACCTCAGGTAACATTTTAAAATTAATCGATTAACGTATGCAGATAAATAAAAAAAAATCGACAAATTTCTTCATTTTTTAATTTACTCTAATTTGTTGTTCAAATAATATAAAAGAAAAAAAGAATCGAATTTACATCTGAATAAATTTCTATATTGTTATTATTATTCGTTTGTGACTATTTAATTATAATAAATAAGTTAAAAATTTCTTTAACAAATTATAATTATGCAAATTTATTGTAGTGAAGCGTTAAATTAAAGTAAAGAATAAATATTCTCTTGGTCATTCAATGGTTTGGAGTGGAAATTTGTATTAAAAATACCGTTGAAAAATGCTTGTGTCTTGATCGTGGCATTATTTTAATTATATCCGCAATCATTTAAGAATGTTAAATAATTTTAACATTTTAACAGGGTTTTAATTAAATTTTTTAATAAATTGATTGAGTTACTGATTAAAAATTAATATTAAATTATAAGAAAGGAAAGGTGAGTCGGAGCTTTCGTTAAGCTATTTCGTTCTCGTTAAAACGAATTATACGTATACTGAAATTATTACTATATTTAGGCTTTTTAATATTTACATCAATACTATTACATACGTCTATTATATATTTATAAAAAATTGTAATCTATTACAATTTAAAATGGCTTTGTATTATTTTCTCAATATTATTTCGGCTTTATCATTCTATTTTTAAAGTACATACATGTGTCGTACAGACCTACACGTGCCGTTAAGTAACAGTTTTCTTTTCTCAAAATCCTTAATTTCTTTTCTCTCTATCTCTCTCTCTCTCTCTCTCTTTTTTTTTTTTTTTTTTTTTTTTTTTTTTTTTTTTTTTTTTCTAGACATTTAGAACGGAATGTCTCGTCAATGGTTTTATCAAGGTTATTTTTAATTATGAAAAAAATTCATGCTTAAACGTATCGCGACACACTAACGAATGGTCATTCTCTCTTTCTAATTAACAATACGATTTATTTCTTGTAGATTGCAAAATTTTGTCTATTCTACGAATGTTATTATTAATTTGTTTAGTTTGAAAACTACTTTTAAATTACAATTGAAAGAGAATACAATTGAATTTTTGTAAAAAATTGACGATAGCAGCATTTACTACATAATTAATAATAGCGTTGAGATTTATCTTGCGAACAGACTCGTGATTATCTCGTATAATTATTAAAACGGAAATAAAAATACAAAATAGATGAATTGCAGATGGTAGTGTTTCACGTGCAAACGCATCCACACGTTAGATGGTACGAGCAGTGCGTCACTTTTAATACGTTTCCGACATGTACTCACGAGCTCACTTATTCACTATTCGGAATGGTCGTGATGTACTTGTTCCCTCTTATTGTCATTATTTACACCTACACCAGTATTCTCGCCGAAATGTACAGAAGGTCCAAGGACACCACTACTGGTGAGTAAGCTCGGATTTATATATTTTATGGTTTAATAATATCTAATAAATGAGCTTGTGGTCGTGCAATATATATATATATATATATATATATATATATATATATATACCCATAGAGCAGTGACGTTTATATGAAATATGACGTATTATTAAGTAAGGTATTGCTTGATATTTAATGTCGACCCAAGTGAGTAGCAAACAATGTACTATAATTACTATAAATAATTTCTTTTGATAATGCATTGAAATTTTTTACTATAAACAAAAGCTATAAATTATTATATGAATTAGGTCGTATTAACATAACGTAGAGATGCGCTAAAATTATATTACATTGTATGGAGTGGACGTAACAAATCTGTTTAAAAGCTTACAAACGAATATGCATTTATGATTCAATGATAATAGATTGTGCTGAATAATTTAATTATAATTTATCATTGTAAAAGGAGAAAAAGTGATTGTATGGTTATTGTAATTATATTCTATACAATTCATTATACATTATACGTATGTAAATATGTATATTACTCAAATTCCTCGAGGAATCATTATGTTAATAAGGTCTCTGTATTATTATAATTCTATAACAATTAATGTTCACGCTACTTTCGTTGTATGGAATTTTTCTTGTTGGAGCATTTAATAATTTATATTTATATTAAAAATTTATATTTAAAAATGTATACATAAATCATTCAATAAGTTTTAATGCGAATAAATGAATAAATAAATTAATTTTCGACATTTTAAGTATTAAATTCGAGAGCCTTTATGATAATAGGCGAAAAGCATGAAAATGAGATCTCAATGCCCATATATTGAAGTACATTATTTTTTAAATCGCGCAGATCGGATAAGACGATCGTCGCTAGGATTTCTGGGACGTGCGAGGGTCAGAACATTAAAAATGACAATAATCATCGTTTTAGTGTTTTTCATCTGCTGGACACCGTATTACGTTATGAGTTTATGGTAAGTATCGGTACGTCTATTTTATTTTACCCGAGAAGTCCCACTTTCTCCCACTTAAATCGCCCAGTGAAATTTTAACGATATATGTTAATTCCAAACAATATTTAATCGTCACACGAATAAAGCAGTGGAAATCATCTTTCATTTGTTTTTCCGTGTAATAGGTACTGGATCGATCGCGTCACAGCAAAGAAAGTCGATCTACGTATACAAAGAGGCTTATTTATATTTGCCTGCACGAATTCTTGTATGAACCCGATTGTTTACGGCGCTTTTAACATTCGCAAAGGCCACAAGGTAAGCCAATCTATTCATCCAAGCGACAAAGAATTTTATGCTTTCATCATGATTATTATGATTTATCCACGGCGTGAAATGGATAGTTGGAATGCACGAAGAATAAGAATTTTAAAGTGGCTTCGACGTTCTTTGACATTTTTCAAATTACAATAGTTAAAGTGCCGTTATCGTGATATTTATCACTTATCGAGTGAAGAGTAAATTGAAATGAAAATCGTTAATTAAATCAAATAAAAAAAGAAAATGCAAAGCAATTATTCATTTAGCTTATGACGTTACCATGGAATGTAGTTAATAAGCATAATGAATGAGGCGCGGTTACGATTAAGCCAACGTAATGAAAATATTGACAAACGCTAAATTGTATATCGAAAATGGCTGGGGTAGGGGGTAGGGATAAATTCACGGGCGAAGGAAAAACGTGCTAGTGCTTTTCCACGTGAACGCAAGAGGAGAGATAAATCATTTAGTCGTATAAGCAAATGATGATGCGCATATCCTAAGACTCTATTCTATAAACTAATCGGCTTAAACTAACAAACTAGCGCAGCGCAGCAGTTAATGCCATTTGAATGAACAGAGCAAGGGAAATGAAAATACGCACAGTAAGAGCAGATTTCTGTTACTTTGCTTGTAGACACCGGCACGAGCGCCCACCACTCAAACACGAGTTACTCCACTGTCTCTCTCAATTAGACTTCTCGCCTGACGATGTCGAGATAAAACAAACGTACACGCGCACATTTTCATGGCTCCGATACGAGCGAACACTCGATCGGGGACTACTTTATGCTAGGGGAGAGAGTATTTTATCTTTCCTACGTGTGTATAAGTAAATGGCCGAGATCGTGTTAACGATTTACTCGTGCTTGGTAGTATAAATGTTGTAAATGTTTGTGAATAATTTAGATACGTTGCGAGAGCAACGCAGGGGGATTCGCATCCAAAGAAATTGAAGTTCGAGCATTACTGCTGATATTATTGTAAGCTTACTTGATTAAGCAGTTCCTTCGACATGCTCGATTTATTTATTTATTTATTTACATTGTTTGTTTGTTTGTTTGTTTGTTTGTTTTTTGTGCGAGTCGGAAAAAAAGCAATTGAACCACTGACGTAATAATGCTCACCGTTCGACCTTACGACTTTTAACTTTCGCCGCTCTCTATTGTTATTGAGTCGAAAGTTTAATGAAGTATGTCGATTGTAAGCCCTTCGTCTGCTGTCTTTGTAGCATAATATTTTAATAGCTTCATTTCATTTCACGTAGACAGTACTTAGTTTAAGTAATTTAATGTACTTTCGTGCAACTTTAATCGAACAACTTGCTAATCTAATAAAAAAAAAAAAAAAAAAGAATAAAAAAAGAGAAAAAAAAGAAAAAAAAAAGAAAAAAAAGAAAAAAAAAGAAAAAAAAAAGAAAAAAAACCGACCCGATTAGTGAACTAAGCATTAATCTAGAAATTATATTATTAAAAGCAAATTTGTTAATGAAGTAGAACGATCAATAAGTTATATTATACGTTTCAATTTATCGATTGAAAAAAAAAAAAAAAAAAAAAGAAAAAAAAATTGGACGAACGATGATGAGGCCAATTTTATTCGCAAATGTTTTTTACGAATGTATGAAAAAAATTATATATACAAACACTTAATACTTTCAATAAGTAAAATCAAAATTACTGCCCAAGACAAAATTTATATGCTCATAATGAAAAATACATTACTCTAGATAATTTAGTATCTTGGAAAAAATTAATTAATCAAAATAGATGTGTGTACTTTTATTTTTTATTTTTATATACATCAACATGCATAAATTTAGTGGAAAAAAAAAGAAATTATTCTCATCTCTTTTAAGGATAATTGAAATGCCTAGAGTTTATCGCTTTATATTTTTTTCTCGCCCTTACTATTATTATTTAACTATAAACTCGATAAATTATTATAACTAATCAATATGAATGAAGTTTTAAAATCAATTAAATTGATTTAAATTATATGTTGGACGTTTGTCTAGTTAATAGATAAATATTGTTATTATGTATATGAGCGATATAAAAGCAAATGTCGTAGAAAATATTATTTAAACAAATTGAAAATTGTAAAGTTGTCATTCTGTTTTATCGTGTCTGTCGTTGAAATATTCGAATAAATATTAGTGAAATAATGTATTTAACATAATTGAGATAAAGTAAATGGATTAAAAATTTCCTAAATAATTAGACATTCATAATTAAAATTTTAAAATATTCAAAACAATTATAATGTTTTTTGTAAATAGTTGAAAAACTACAATATTTATCGTTCTCAATATTACAATATTTATAGCTCCCATTCTATTACAATAATTCTCGTTAATATAACAATCATTTTAATAATTATTGTCTTGTAGTTGGTATGATAATTTTCAATTACTATTAAAATTTATGCAACCAATTGGAGTTGTACACTCATAATTTTATGCTAACAAATTTGTTGAATGATATGAAAGGAAAAATATCATTATCACTTGTAAAACATACACGATCGGCTGAACATTCATTTCATTAGAGGAACAAATATTTTTCATTTTCCAAACAGTCGATAAAAATCAGTCGATAAAAAACAGCTACGAGTAATACTTACAATTATTTTTATTTTTATTTTTATTTTTATTTTTATTTTTATTTCTACGTTAATTATTAGTGTCGCATATACGAGAGTGAAAATAGCATTTCAGATCTATATCGACGTCTAGATCTATTTCCTTAGAAAAACTTATTTTTATTTTCATACATATATTAATTACGTATATATATTAATTGCCTTTAGTTTATCTATTTACAAAAATTACCCATAATAATTGTAATAAAAGAGATTTAAAATAATAAACGACATATATCGTTCATACAGTGCATACATTTTCCCTTGGGTAGCTTTCAGAAAAATGTAAAAAGCACCCGCGACGATTCATAAAATTCATAAAAGGACAGCTTAAAGCGACATTTAATTTAAGCATGAGAACATGTAATAAGTGTGCACTTGTTGCAGCCATATATAGTCAGCAAACTATAATCCGATGATCTCTCTAGTCCATCATACCTTCACATCCAGCCTCATTTTATTTAGCATTGTCAGTGGGTCCAGCTATGCACTTGCTAATGTACGCCAGCACCTCGGGAATTATTCTGTCGCATAGAGAAATGCGTGTTTGGCTCGTATAATCAACATTATTAGATTCTCTCTCCTGCCATTGTTTATTATAGTCATTAAAAATCTTTATTCTCTGCAATGCCTTAATTTCTTTCGTCTTCTCCTCTGTGTAATAATCGGTAAGCCAACATCATGGAAATACTTGATATGTTACTATTTTTATTCATTGTTTTACTTGACATATTTTTGTAAATTTTTCTTTTTATTTTCCTTAAATAATTTATCAATCTAATTTATTTGAAATAATGATTATTTTAATATCAATTTTTGTTATTAATGTCACATTTTAACTTGAAATTACATATGATAAAACAAAAAGTAAATTGTGAGCGATGGAGTAAAAATTCTTTTCGGGCGTCTTGTCGTCTTAATTTTGTCTTGGTGGTGAGAATAAGTTGATGGATTGGCCTGAAAAGAGTGGATTGGCTTTCTTGGGAGTCGGTTACTTGGACTTTCCATCTCACGCTGCTTTTTCATCGCGTCGTCTTCTACATGAATCCCCGCTTCTTTCTCGTTGACGATTTTGCCTGCGCATATGGCCGAGGCTTAGATAACATATGCGAGTGCACTAACACTGAATACGCTGAACGAGTGTTAACAATCAAATTTTTATTAAAGTTACTCTACCATCCGTGAAAATAACTTTATCAAAAATAGAATTTTATTAAAAATTACGTGTATATATTAAATCAGATTCTTTGAAAATATTATTTTCACTTAATATATAATATTTAGGATTTAACTCTATTTCAAATCTTACAATTTTTTAATATCTAATTGATCAACAGCGTTTTACATTGTACACGTTTTACAAAGTAAAGTTAGAAGATATATATATATATATATTGCTTAAAGGGGTCGAATGGAATTTATATACAAACAATTGTAGGTTAAAAGTAAAGAAAATTTTTTTTATTATTTAGTAAAATTTATTAATTATCATCGTTTTTATCGCTATTTTTGTATTATTATATCTATTTATACAAGCAATTCTTTCTTTTACTTTAAGATGTCCAGTCTTTCTAGGAAGAACGTTGATTTTATTTTTAAGACCATTTCATAAAAAATATACGTGCAAATTTTTTTTTACCTTACCTTTGTGGGCATAAAGTTTGAAAATCTTCGATTGAACTTTAACGACATGTTTGCGATTAAAATACACTATATTATAAATTATTTAAACATTTGGTATCATTGATTGCAAACGTAAAATATTATGGTAAGTATGTAATATGGTTACAATCCAATTTTCTATAAAATATAATAGAGTTGGAAAATTTTTATTTTTTTTATTTTTTTGTATTTTTTCTTTTTTTCTTTGTTTTTTACATTTTATTCACGAATGTTGAAAGAGGGTAATAATCGTCCAATGTATTATATTGGTTAGAAGAGTCATCCGTAGAAAATATCCGAGAATAGAGTTTCTATTTTTTCCGTGAAATCCTCGAGATTAAGCAACTCGATCCTCTGCGAACGAAAGCATAGTTACGCGCGCAATGTGATACGTGAGTGTACGTAGGCTCGCGATAGAAGCAAAAGAGAGAAAGAGGCAGTCATGAATAGAAGGAGAAACTTGTGTTTAGCGTGTACTTAGCAACCCCAACAACCAAATCAGCTCTTGTCTGCAGGACGTATTGGCGTCCCAGAAGATTGCGAACCGCTCGAGCAAGGATTCGGCCAACGAAATGGCAGATCGCGTCAGCTTGCACCGGAGTTCGCCGAGGTCCAGTGGACGGCTGCCCGTCCAGACGGAAATCAACCTCGTGCCCGCTGGGAAATCAACGCCCTCGAGGAGTCGAGCACTAGTGAGTTCACAGCCAGTGTACCATTCAATTGCTCGTACAAATTAAATTTCTAAGCGCACACGAGCTTTGCATTAAGCTAAAGTTGAAATCGTCCGTGACTCTAGGATTATTTGTCCCAACGTTCCGAAACTTTAATCAAATTAAATAAATTATCCGTTTGAGACATTTTAAAATTTGTCTATATTCACGACATTATTATTATTATTATTATTATTATTATTATTATTAGTATTATTATTATTATTAGTATTATTATTATTATTAGTATTATTATTATTATTATCATCATCATCATCATCATCATCATATCAAACACGAACGTTTCTCAATTTGTAAAATAAGTTTTACATAAGCGATTTAACTTGCACGTTAACGTTCTAATGTTCTAATGTTTATCTCTTTCAGTAAAAATCAAGAATTGATGTCACCGATTCATAAGAAGAATTAATGTTGGGGAAAAAAAACATAAAAAAATGTTTTGTATATCACTAAGCTGTCACGACTATAGTAAAGTTAATTAATAATGGCGATAAACGTAAATTTGTCTGTTCGTTGCGATCGCACGTAATCCTATATAACGCGTTCATCCTTTATAAATACACTGAATTTTAACTAATTGATACTTGCGAATGTATTTCACATTTAACTTTACAGCAATCCATAAATACAAAAATGTACTCGATAACTATGGACGATATATCGACGCAATTAGTCGCGAAAGGAATGTCAATGTTTCATCGCTAATGTGCCCATACCAGGTAAGATGGATTTTCAAAACAAATGTCATAACGAATTATCGTCGTAAAAGATGCTCCCGGGCGACGACGAGGATTAAATAACGCCTTAACGAGTCGTTTGTCAATCGCTTGTCCGATCTCAGACTTCTTTTTTGTTTTTTTTTTGTTTTTTTTTTGTTGTTTTTTTGTGTTTTTTTTTGTTTTTTTTTTGTTTTTTTTTGTTTTTTTTGAAGCAGCAACTTTTTTCAACATATTACTTTCAACATGCGCAACATATGTTCTGAGAATGATAAAAGGCATCATCCGGACGAGTGTGCCCGGGACTACTCGTCCATGAGCGATTGCGCGCCCGCGTCCACGTTCCGGCAGAGGCGGAAACTCCAGCCTTAATCATTCAATCATCTTCCAGCTTGTTCACGTGGAGTCGGACGCGAATCGCATTGACCGGCCAGCAATAATTCCAAAAGCGAGCGAGTGAGCGAGCGTCGTTAAAAGTAACGGAGCGACATTGCGCAAGGAGCCGCGGCTCGAAACGAGCGATGGGCGTATGATAATACGAGCGCGCGTAGTCGGCGAAAAAAGAAAAAGAAAAAAACAGCGCGCACGGCCTACTGAGAGCCGACCGTCGCTTTCTCCCGCGCTTGGCTTAGAGCGCACGCAGAAGGAGAGAGAAAGAGCGGATGAATCGGAGCTGGAAATCGGCAGCGGTCGTTTCGTAGGTGGGACGACTTCCCACGCGGGCGGCTGCAACCGTTGCAGTGCCACTCGATCGTCACAAGGTCGTTGGCGCGTGGCGGGGAGTCGCGTGTGGAACGCGCCGCGCCTCGATACCTCTGGGATGCCTGTTTGTCCCTTTTTCCTCTCTCGACTTTTTCCGATGGGGACTGTCGCGAACTCCCCGGCTCTCTAAAATTGACATCCATTGATATCCTATGGTTCTAGATCGGGGCCGGGCGCCGAGCTCCCGGACCTTTTCTCTCTCTCTCTCTCCCACGTGGCATCTCCCAAAGACATGATACTGCCGTTAAGGAGTATCGGTAGCTTATTGGCGCCGCGCGCTCGAATACATGCTTAGCCTACGCTTTTTTTATCCTCGACTCTGCCCGTTACAACCCAACGGCATTGTCCATTGGCATAACGTTACACGCCCGTTTTATCGACGAAATGTATGCCCGGTCGAAGTATCCGACAATCGTACAGTTTCATGTCTTCCTGCTCGCGCACTACGACTATTACAGCTGTACTCGATGAACGTATGACGCTCTACGCGAGAGACCCACGAACGCGCGATTTACAAAGTCCGGCATGCCGGCCCACTCCGGCCTCCCACGACTCGGCCAAACAAACAAACACGCATCCAATGCCGAGTGATCGCGATGGATTATGGGCGACTATGGACGTATTATTAATGGAGGTAGGATTTACTGGCCCGGAGAATCCAGCTGCTAGTACGAGTGTGAATTGGTGAATGATGACCAATTGGTCGAAACGCGCTGTGCCCATAGCCGTGCATTCGGGATGAAGAAGGAGCTCGATGAGAATAATGGAGGGGGAGGGAGCCTGTGTGCAGGTGGAATTCGAATGGCGCCGGGACACGCGTTCGAGGGCTTCCGGAAATTCCACGACTTCCGTGAAATCCGGGACACTCGCTGGCGCGCCGCCGTTAATAGTAGCGACGTCAGCGAGCGGCACCGGCGCCCTCGCGGGGTTGCGCGACGACGAGGAGGATGTCCCCCCTGGACTCGCCGCGGGAAGGGAAAAGAAGCGCGTGGGCGCCGTATAAAGTGCGCCGAGGCTGTGGTGCGCGCTCCAGTGAGTCGTGCGTGCGCAGGGGCGAGACGCAGCTCCCGTCATCCTCGTTCGTGGTCGACGCGCGCGCGCACGCGTAGCACCTGATTCATCCGTCCTCAGGAGCATCGTCTTATTACTTGCTTACCGATTAGAGCGAGGGGTGCGCGCGCCCTCAAACGTTCTACGACCCTCGGTGCAGCTGAATTCTAAGGTGCGTGTCCGACCTGGACATCTCCCTTCGTACGGTCCTTTCCTCCTGGATCCCTCCTCCACGCATTTTCCCTACTTGTCATCGTGTTTTTTACGAAGTCGTCGCACTGAACACGGGTGATCAGTCTTCTTATTCCCGGTGCTCGACTCGACCTTCTGCCAAGTGTTTCGTCTTGTCGTTGGCGCGGGTGCACCTGATTCTTTCGCTTTGCGCGTTTCGCCACGATCGTGACTCACGTACGGGTGATTTGGTTTTAACTAGTGCGTTCGTCCTTGCGACTGCGGCCTAGAAACGCGTAGAGCGTAACTTTCGCTCGAGCCGATTATTGTTCGACCTAGGCGCGTTTAATTCCAGTTTGGAGTTTCATTGTGGTGTAAAGCGAAAAAATCAGGTGCCTCGGCTTATCGATCCTCTTGTACATTTATATAAATGTATACCGTTACGTACGTACGCACGCGCGCGCGCACGTAATCATATTTAGTTAGGATTCGTCCCCCAACCCATCTCATATCATAATCAATCCCAATCCACCTCCACCGCCATCGCCATCGCCACCGTCACCACCACCGCCAGCATCACCACCATCACCACCACCACGACCACCACCACCACTTCCCAAAGTGCAAGGCGATCCCGACGACGAGAATACCAATAAAAGCCATAGTTTATATTTTCGGTTGTTTAAGATCAGCGGGCCACATTCATCAAGATGCGAGGCGTCGCGACGCTCCTGTTCTGCGTGGTGCTCGTCACTATTTCTAGCTCGAGCCTCGCGCCCGACGAGGGTAAGTCTGCTTATATTTACTTTTTTTCTCATTTCTCTTACTCGCTGGCGCACGAAAAACTATTTTCTAATTTTCTATATTTATCCAGCGTCGACTTCGACGATGCCTTGCCTTCGCTTCGACACGCACGCATCATAATAACGAAAGCACGTGCGCGCGCGAGCCCAACGGGAATAGATTTCAAATTGAACGCGCTGTAATTCGCGCGCGCCCAAATACGCATGCGCGTGTTTGGTTTCTCGCTGTTTGGGCGACGACGCGACTGTTTGCATCGTCGTTTGCTTTTTTTTCTTTCATCGCGTATCTCGAGTCCGTACGGATATAGGCGATCGAGGTGTAGCACACAAGTGTTACTACATTACTGTAAACACTGGTGGCCGGATGGGGCGATGGTTGGATGGGTGGTT